CTCTGTCTTTGACAATTTTTTGGGGTTGAGGCTTGAAGGTTTTACAGCCTCACAACCCCAAACCCTCAAGCGCAAGCCCAAAAGTCCTTGGACCTAGGTTTTACGGTTTACAGTAGGGTTTAGGTTTTGTCGGGTTTCGCGTTTCGGGCTTCGATTTCGGGCTTAAAATTAGTTAGCGCGATCTTCGCGTTTTGAGACTTTTTACACACATGTCCAAATACATCGCAAAAAACATGGTTTCCAACACCTCACACACCCCAAAGCACCAGGCGCCCTGAGGCGCGCAACCCTAGTAGTAGTAGTAGTAGTAGTAGTAGTAGTAGTAGTAGTAGTAGTAGTAGTAGTAGTAGTAGTAGTAGTAGTAGTAGTAGTAGTAGTAGTAGTAGTAGTAGTAGTAGTAGTAGTAGTAGTAGTAGTAGTAGAAGTAGTAGTAGTAGTAGTAGTAGTAGTAGTGCAAAGCACTTTCCCGCGCGTTTTTTTTTTCTCACATTTTCCAAATCGCAGGTTTCAGCACTTTTCAAGGTTTTTGGGTTTGATTTTCATCGTTTAAAAGCATCACTTGGTCTTGTTCAGCTCTATGCTGTGGCTGTGGTCTCCATTGGAATTTGTCTTGAAGGAGCCTTTGAAGAAATTGTATTTTCAGAAATTTGATTTTTCGTTTTGTAAAAGTCCGCAACATCTTGATTTTTTTGTCTTGTGTGAAAAATATTTTTAACTTCCATTTTGACCCTGAAGATGGCACTCAGGAATGTAAAAATGAATGAGTTTCAAACGGGTTTTGCGACAAAAAACTTCATTTTGCACGTTGGCCAGGGGGTATTTGCATGGTGTTTTTGGAGATGTTGAAGTTTTTGAATTTTGAGCCAGACCAGTTTGTTTGATTTAGTTGCAAAAAGTTAGTAAGGCTCATCTTGTTTTCAGACTGTTTCGTTAAGAATATTCGTCAAACAAGGAAAATTCGAATTTGGCCTTTTGTCGATCTCTTCGAAAAACAGTTTGTTCGAACAATTTCATGTCTCACAGTGTCAGAGCTTCGAGACGGTGAGCGTCGTGCCGCACGCACCAGATCAAATGTGTAAACCTGCCATTTGAGGTTTGGCTGACACTGGCTTTGCAGCACCGAGGGGACGGCGCCCCCCAATTGCGTGTGAACGAATGCCAGGCAGCCGGACTGAGCCCTAAAGATTCACAAAGGAAGGTTTTGCAAGTTCGAACCATACCAGCATCGGCGGGTTCACGGGCGCGTGTTAGCACTGACCAGGTATGATCTTCTTAAAATTTTCGAAGGGAGAGGACGATCAATGAAGCCTTCAGAAAGGGCCTCAAGCCCCCTTCCAGAATCATGGGCAACAGAACTTTCGTCTTCAACTTGAGAAGAAAGGGCTTCAAGCGGAGATTGAGAAGGGGGGGCTTCTCAAATTCAAATTTCAGGGGTTTTCGAACGCCTTGAGAACGGGGTCCAGGAATTCCCGAAAAGGACAGAAACTTAAGTAAACTCGGGGCCTCCATTCCAAACGGTAGAGCCGAAAATAATTCCAAATTCCACCCCTCCGGCCATGCCCGAACCCACCTTATGCGTGCAGATCACGGAGACTTGAGACGCTGAACCCCCCCAAAGCTTGATGCCCTTCGAGAATTCTGGGTCCCCGTGCTCTCAAGCCCCTTCAAGCCCCCTCTGAAGCTCCCTTGGAATTCGAAGTTGAAAAACTCCCCTTCTCAAGCCCCCTTCTTAAGCCTTCACTGTTCGTTCCCCCCGGCCTGACCTTTCTCGATTCGAATGTGAAAAGCGCCAACTTATAATGCCAGCTGGCCTGTCGCCCACGCAGCGGCCCAAACATGGCTCCCTAAATCCTAAACCGTAAACCCTAAACCCCAAACCTTAAACCCTAAAACCTAAACCCTAAACCCTAATCCCAAAACCCGAAACCTTAAAGCTCCAAACGTGTTCAAGGCCATCGATGTTCCCCCTCATCCCTTGGTGTGTTCGTGCTGGATGATGTTCTTGCGGGCCAGGCTGATGAAACAATATTCGTACTTTCCGAAGATACCGTACTGACATGAGAACGCGTTTAACTGTGCTTCGATTCAGTGCGTTCTTTCTGCACCTGCTAATTCATTGTTGTTTGCGTGAACAGGAGGATTTGCTGAAATTCAAGAGTGGGTAGTACACTCGCGGGACTGAACGAAACGCAGTGTGTGGCACTTCTTGCCAAACTACCGGATGAAAGCCCCAGAGAGCCACGTACAGCCGACTAGTTCCCTGTCTCTCTCATTGTTTGTGTGTCTGTGTGTTGTTTTTTGTGTTTCTCTCTCTCTCTCTCTGTCGCTCTCTCTCTCTTTCTCTCTCTCTCTCTGTCTCTCGCTTTGTCTCTTTCTCTATCTTTGGCTCTCTCTTTCTTGCTCTTTGTCTCTCTTTCTTTATTTCTTTCCTTTTTCAATGCATTCATTGAATGCAAAACGGTGCCGCCTAGGTTGGATTTGATCACAGAACACACGTACGAACTGTTTGGAACCCTTCCGGTCGGAAAAGAGATCCAAGTCGTTGCGTGCCCTTGCTCCATTTTCTGTGCTTCCAAGTTTTTTTTGAAGTTTGAACTCCATTCAACAATCCCCATGAAGTAGCATTGTTGCCCCATTGGCCCAAGATGGTTCAGCAGTTGAGGGTCCGCGTCGATGGAGACAGCATGGACGGGAGAGGCGCTATACTTGTGCACAATCCTGCGCATGTTTTTAAAGGCATGTTTTCTCTGTGGGGTGCATGTGATTGTTGAGGCCATGCTGGCCCAAACACAATCCCTGGAAGTGGAGCCCATCTCATTGCCGGAAGCCCAATCTTTAATCGCGTACTGTGGGAAGTATGTGAGTCAATGTGAGGCCCAGGACCTTCAGCTGTAGTCGTCAGCTTCTGTAGTGCCAAACTGGTAGTGCAACAGGAGCGCTTCCGGGCTTAGACTCCATGTTGGTGTTTAAACATGCTTCGGCCTTGGAGCAATGACAAAAAGGCCGACGTCAATTCCCGCAGTTCTGACAGATACAAGAATGTGCGGAAGACGTTTGATCTGTTTATAGATTTGATCTTCATAGGGTTTCCCTCCATTTTTTGGAGACAGGTGTGGCCCTTGGGCCGTCCTGTTTCTTCCCGGAGCCCCTGAGTCATTCTGTTCTTGTTCTTGCTCTCGGCTGTGTAGTTTGAAAGCAAGACCTTGTGCTGCCCTTGATTCTTTTGCCTCATGAAAAGCAGCCACAGTGCCCTTTCAATGAAGGTCGAGGTCTGATCAGCACACTGAGAGACACGTGGGCTGCATTCGGCTTTTTTGGCAGATGCAAAAGCGCAAAGAGAGGGTGGCCAGCCTGCCTGCCAGCATTTCGTCCCCATGACATCCGCAAGGTGCTGCAGCGTAGTGAGGCGCTCTTTGCCAACTTTCCCACAAAGCAGGCCAGGGGGGGACATCGATGTCGTGAGAACTTTCCGTAGTTGAGGTACAATGTGCCAGACGGAACGTGGGTTGCGCTCCCTGCGATAAAGTGCCAGCATGATACTTAGAAAGAGCAAAGCGGAAGATGTCTTTCCGGTGATAGAGCGATTCAGCTAACATGTCAAGGTCCGGTTGTATCAACAGGGCACAGATGGTGCTTTGTAAAAAGCAGGGTTAGGGTTCGGGGTTTGGGGTTTTAGGGATTAGGGTTAAGGGCTAAAGTTTAGGGTTTAGGGTTAAGGGTTAAGGGTTTAGGGTTTAGGGTTTAGGTGTTCAAGAGTCGCCATGGACGGTCTGCAAGGAGAACCCTGGCCTCGGCGTGCCGATGGTCTCTCTATCTGTTCGTTTCGGGCCTCTTCATGTGCCCCGCCTTGTTTCGGTGTGTTTCGCCGTGTTTTGCCATGTTTCGCTGTGTTTCGCCGTGTTGCACTGTGTTGCGCTGTGTTTGGCCGCGTTTTGCTGTGTTTCGCTGTGTTTTGCTGTGTTTCGCTGTGTTTCGCTGTGTTTCGTTTGCTCCCCAGTTTGTGGGGTTTTAGTGTTTGACTCAGCTATTCTCCTGGCCCGAGTTTCCTAGAAAGCCCAAACCGTCTTCTTCTTCTTTTTGATTATGATAATTGATGATCTCGAAAATGACAAGCAAAAGGGTTTGGGGTGTGGGGCTGGACGTCTGTTGTGGCTGATCTGATTGGCTGCATCGCTCCCGGCGCCTCTTTTTCTGGGTTACTTCTGTGTGACATTCTGTGGTCACTTGTGGCTCAGGGGGAGGCGTCTGCAGCAAAGGCCTGTGGTCAGCTTCACATCTCGCCCTTCATTCTGGTGCCTATTTTCCATCCGAATTTCCTCTTTGCCATGTCGTGCTTGAACCTCGACATGTTCCTAAAGCCAGCGCTTCGCGTTGGGTTGGCGTTCAAAGGCCTTCAGGACTATGTATGGTACCAGCAGGCTCTTCCTGATAGAAAGGATCAGATTGAGCATCCTGGCTCCACTTACTTGTGACTGCTTTTGTTGAGCCGAGTGGTTTGCGAGTGTAGTTTTTGGGAACTGTATATGTTGGGATGTTCCCCCTTACACTAACAGTCCCTAGTTGGGATTCTGTACTATCATCCCTACCCAGGACTGTAAGTATAAGGGGGAACATCCCAATGTACATGTTCTTCGAAGGCTTCCGTAACTATCTTCTCTCTTAGACCTAAACCCTAAACCGTAAACCCTAAACCCTAAACCCTAAACCCTAAGCCCTGAGCCCTAAACCCTAAACCCTAAACCCTCAACCCTCAACCCTGAACCCTAAACCCTAAACCCTAAACCCTAAACCCTAAACTGAAATCTTTCGGCGGCTCCGAGGTCCAAGTCGCCCATTCCTTCGGTGCCCATGCAGGTGTTTGCGCCACCAAAGTCGGAGGCAGATGTCCAGAAATTAAGGAAACTGCTTGAGGACGATATTCCCTTCCTGATCGAGTTCCGGAAGACTTCGCGGTGATACCTCCGGAGAAGTATGCGGCAGTCGAGGCGTATTTGTCTAAGATGCTCGCAGAAGATGCTTTGGCAGCCCTAAGTTCGCCTGTTTTTTGGGGTTCGGGGGGGTCCCTTGTAAAGTAACCAACGCCCCAAAAACGGGTGCCCTTACTACAACATGCTTACTAAACCCGAAACCCGAAACCCGAAAACCTAACCCCTAAACCCTAAACCCTAAACCCTAAACCCTAAACCCTAAACCCTAAACCCTAAACCCTAAACCGTAAACCCTAAACCTTAAACCTTAAACCCTAAACCCTAAACCCTAAACCCTAAACCCTAAACCCTAAACCCTAAACCCCTAAACCCTAAACCCTAAACCCTAAACCCTAAACCCTAAACCCTAAACCCTAAACCCTAAACCCTAAACCCCAAGCCCTAAACCCTAAACCCTAAACCCCAAACCCCAAAACCCCAAACCCTGAACCCTGAACCCTAAAGCCAAGCCCAAATTACTGGCCCCAGGATGGCTGCAAAGCCGATGAGGAGTTCCTTTGCGTCAAGTTCGAGGCATGGCGCCTTTGCCATAGTTGGGTAGCATTTTACACATGTTTAAGGGTACTTAAACCCAATAAGGGATATACATTGTTTTTACATCTTCAAGGGTACTTAAAAACCCAATATGGGATATGAAATAAACCCTAAACCCTAAACCCTAAACCCTAAACCCTAAACCCTATGCCCCAAAAAAACCCTAAACCCCAAACCCCAAACCCCAAACCCTAAACCCTAAACGCATGTTTAAAATTACGATCCCAACCATGAGGCACGAGAACTACGGAGAGCTTGACAAAGTGGTCCAGCAGCTCCTTCCGCAGTCTCAGCATCCTCGACTGAGCCTGGGGAAGAAAGACAAGTAAAGCCAACTCCCTCTCTCTCCCTGCCTACACACATATATATATATACATCTATATATATATATATATATATACGTGTATATAGACCTCTCTCTATGTGAATATATATATATATATGTGTATATCTACGTATATACGCAGATGTGTGACGTGGTACTCCCGAGGAACTGGCCTTTGTGGTTCTTGGGGAACTACACCACCTCGGGCCCACATGTGGATGCCATGTTCGGCTCCGTGAATGCCTACTTCATGGCCCATGGCGCGAAATCCGTGAGGATCCTCACAAGGGCTGCCACGGAGCGCCTGCCAGTTCATTACAAGGATGACTACCTCTTCCCGCTGGACTCCTCCGAGCTCCCGAACTACCCATCCTATGAGTGCACGTTGAAGGAGAACACCATGCTCTTCTTCAGCAACTCCGCGTGCCTCCACACCTTCGAGAACTTACCCGGCCCTCAGCCGCGTGCCCTATCCTTGAGGCTCAAGTACACGGGGCATGTGCATCCCTTGATCATCGAGACGGCGATGTACAGCTGGGATTACGTTGAGCATGCAACTGGGTTCTAGTTCAGAAACGGAAATTCAAAGACCATCACAAGCAACGCCGTATGATTTGTGCTTCGTCCTGTGCCCATACTGTGGATGGACAAAATCTTGCATGACCCCCTATGTTACACGTGTGCGACGGTTGGTAGTCGAGCTCCCCGCGCCCCTCGAATTTCAATGTTGCGTGCGCGTGCGGGTGATGCAGGATTTCGGTCATTCACACACATGCACTTTCGAAGCATTGCAAGGACAACAATGTTAAGATTCAGGGTTTGGAAGGGATGACTTGCATAATAAAAGTGATGCAGGATTTCGTCCATCAACAGTCTGGAGACTGGCAAGCTTTCGGAAACCCTGGTCTCTAGTCACAGCTGACCAGAGTGAATTGAGGGCCGTATGTGAGGGCTAGGACGGGGGCAGAAAGTCCGGAATATGGTGTTTTTCAAGTTTCAAATTGTTTTCACAATTTCAAATTAGTTTCCAATCAATTTCAAATTAGTTTCAAAATCCAGTTGCAAAATCGCTGTTAAGGGGGAACTGCAATTTCTGTCCGCGCTTTCTGAAAACCAGGAACCTCTGAGATTCTTTCATTTTTTTGAATTGCGCGTAGAAAAATACAGTTTCCCCTTAACAGCGATTTTGCAACTGGATTTTGAAACTATTTTGAAACTAATTTGAAACTGCGGAAACGAATTTGAAACTTGAAAACGCGGCATGTCTGCTCTTTGGCACTTGGCCACACCCGAGCAAGAGGAGAGCTTAGTTAGGCTTGAAGCTGCCAAAAGTACATCTCCGACATTCTTCCCAAAAGCCATTCCAGCAACAACTCTCGCCAACAAGTCAGGAAAATATCTTGTCCGAGACTGTATCAGGGTGACATAAGCGAGCCTAGAACCCCTTCACCCAAACCCTAAACAGCAACTCAGGTAAGCAGCCTCCTTCGAAACGTTGCGACCAAGGGCAAGCTGTTGAGGACGCAGTTCGTGAAGTGAGAGATTTTCGGCCGTGATTCCGGAGGGCCCTGCAACCTGGATGAAAAAAGCTATGGAGAATCTACACATGTACATATATATGTACTTCTATATACAAAAACGTATATACATTTATACATATATATATGTACATACTTATTGGCATGTGTGTATGTATGTCTGTATGTATGTATGTATGCATAGACATATACGCATACTTACGTATACATGTACATAGCAGAGGACTTAACACTGATACAAGCTGGAGAAGCATGCTGCGTTCTATCAATGCGGTTTTGCTGCGACTTTTGGCTGTGATGTGCAGTGCTTGCAGACGATCGGGACCGAAGCCCGCTTTGGGCACCCAAGCATCGGGTTATAACCTTGCCTTAGAGAAGTGTGCACGTGCTGAGGGTCGCTTGCAGCACGGTTTCATATCGCTTTTTTCACGCGGTCTGGCGCTCTTTCGAATGAAAGATGCATGACCCATCATGACTTCCATCGGACCAACTAGACAGAGGCATAACCTCCGGAAAGCATGTTTTCGTCTTAAACCTGGATGCTATGCTTCAGTGGAAAATGTTGAGCTGCATCGCGATTGCATCATGCTGGACCCTGCAGCATCCGAAGCCCTGAGCCCTAGCTACTAATACTATTTTCAGGTTTTTAGCACAGTGTTTAAAACCGCATATATGTATATATGCATATATCTCAATGTATATCCCCTCCATCCTGAACACAACGCCTTCCGCAGGCCGACTAAAAGCCCGCGGGCGTCGGAGCCCCAGCGGCCAACTCGGAGCCGTGCCTGCCTTGGATGTGTTAGGGTTTAGGGTTTAGGGTTTAGGGTTTTGGGATTTGGGGATTCGGGGTTTTGAGGTTTCCAGAAAGTCACTGTCAGCAACAAGTATCACTCCCGAAGAACTCCCAGAAAGGCCAATGCCCCTTGGTATCGGAATGCACCTAGTTTCATCATCAGAGCCCCTGAGAAGAAAGAGGTCAACTTCTACATCAAGAGGTTGAGCCACCGATACCAAGGGTTCTTGACAGCGCTCGCATGCGTCTTGGGATACCCGATTCCACGAGTCAGTTTGTAGTGGAATGATGCCGGGATCATGACAAGATTCTCGACTACGAGGCCCAGTATCCCTTGGCCACTAAACCCTCCTCAGCCCAACCACCAAACAGCTCAGCCCCCCCCAAACTGTAAACCCCCAAAACCCGAAACTCTTAAAGCTCCTCAAATCAAGAGCTCTTTTGATGTGTGACTTGGCTCTGAGGCTACCAGCCTTCCTCTGAGGTTGCGGCCAGGGGTGGGGTTTAGGGTTCGGGCTTTTTGGGTTTAGGGTTCAGGGTTTCGGGGGACGCTGGGACTGCTGCGTGAGAAAATGCCATGGAGCTGTGACCTGCGTGGCACAGAGGGAGGCTTGAGCATGACTTGGGCTGACGGGGGAAGTTTGTGTGCTGTTGCGGGATGTTGTGGGCTGCTGGTAGTTTGGATGCGACATCGTTCACTTCTCCCACAAATAGAGCTCAGAAGCCAATGCCCTGTATGATGTTAGACAGACGCCAGTGGCTCTGTACGGTGACATGTTTGGCACCAAGGTTGCTGAAGTCAGGTCCTTTGTCGGAGAATTGCACATGGAGGGGAAGAGGAGCAGCTAACCCTAAACCCTAAACCCTAAACCTTAAACCCGAAACCCTAAACCCTAGACCCTAAACCCTAAACCCTAAACCCTAAACCCTAAACCCTAAACCCTAAACCCTAAACCCTAAACCCTAAACCCTAAACCCTAAACCCTAAACCCTAAACCGCACTAGTTCGTGAGCACCTGTGAAGCATTGGCTCGCAGCAACCTCTGCCTTCGGCAGAGCCGTCCCGGAGGAGCTCCGGAGTTGGTTTAGGGTTAAGGCTTAAGGGTTAAGGGTTTAGGGTTTAGGGTTTAGGGTTTACGGTTTAGGGTTTAGGGTGGTTTTCAGGGCTTTTCGGGGGCCCCTGAGTAGCTCATAGTCGCGAAGCCCCGAACTCTAAACCCTCAGGGCCAACTTCGACACCCCAAAAACATCCCAAACCCAAAACCCTGAAAATCTTCCGACCTTGAACCCTAAACCCTAAACCCTAAACCCTAAACCCTAAACCCTAAACCCTAAACCCTAAACCCTAAACCCTAAACCCTAAACCCTAAACCCTAAACCCTAAACCCCAAACCCCAAACCCTGCACCCTAAAGCCTAAACCCGAAGCCCTAAGCCCAGGTTGAGAGGACCTCCTGGAATCCGCAACCTGATACGAACAGTCCGTCATAGGGATTGTCTTAAGGGGGTGCTATAATCCCTCTGAAGGACTGTTGGTATCAGGGATAACATCCCAACCTCAACCCCTAAAAAACACACACAAAAACAATTAAAGAACACCCTGTTAGGGGTAGACACTAGTAGGATTTCCTTGACCCCAAGAAGGTACCCCTAAACCCTAAACCCTAAACCCTAAACCCTAAACCCTAAACCCTAAACCCTAAACCTTAAACCCTAAACCCTAAACCCTAAACCCTAAACTCTAAACCCTAAACCCTAAACCCTAAACCCTAAACCCTAAACCCTAAACCCTAAACCCTAAACCCTAATCCCTAACTTCGGAAGCCACCATAAGCTGAACTCCAGGAGGATGGCGCAGACCAAGGATCAGAAGATGGCTGCGGCGGCGGAAGCCGCCAGCAAGCGGTCGAAGGGCAAGAAGCCCATGAAAGACCTCAAGCCGCTTGGGTTTAGGGTTTAGGGTTTAGGGGTCAGGGTTTAGGGTTTAGGGTTTAGGGTTCCCAAAAACAAGCCCCCAAAAGCCCCCAAAAGCCCCCGGAAAGCCCCGAAACCCCCAAAAACCCCTAAACCCCTAAACCCTACCTTAAAACACCCTAAACCCTAAGCCCTGAGCCCTAAACCCGAAGCCGTGGGGGAGAAAAGGCCAGTGGTTTTGGTGACTGTGGGAGGGTTTAGGGTTGCGGTTCCAAGGAACGATGCAGGATTCAGAAACTGGACACGATTCAGGCAACCCAAGGATTCAGGAAGCTCCGGCGATTCAGGAAACTGCGGTTCAAGAAACTGGGGGGATTCCCAAAACTATTGGATTCAGAAAGCTGGCTTGACGCGATTCCGGAAACCACGCGATTCAGGAAATTGGAACCGGTGTCCCGCGATTCAGGAAAGCGCGGGTTCAGGAAACCAAGCGATTCAGCAAACGGGTTCCACGAAGCCACACGATTTCAGGAAACTGCTGATTCAAGGCTCTATCAGAAAACTTTGCGATTCCGGAATCCGCTTTCCCGAATCCGCACTTTCCAGCTTCCAGAATCCGCACTTTTCCCCAGTTTCCGCATCTGCGCGTTTTCGGTGTCGAAGCCGTTTTTGAACGGGGTGTTAGGGGGGTTTAGGGGGGTCAGGGCCGGTCAGGGTTATGTGTTAGGCTTTAGGGTTTAGGGTTTAGGGTTCTTTGAACATATTTTTTTGGAATACCCTTAACCCCTCCAATAATCCTTACAAAGCCATAAAAGTTCAATTTTTCTAGGGCCCCCAAACCTGCCCCCCAGACTAGTTCGTGATGAAGACTTAGGGAAGGAGGGACCTCATACCTCAGCTCTGGTTCATACCCGGAGTTTCGTTCTCAGACTCCCTACTGAGAACCACATAGTTTAGGGTAAGACTTTGGGAGGTGGCGGTCGTAGACTTAGACCCTGAACCTCGCCACAAGAGCCCTGAGGCCCCAAACGGCCCTCTAAACCCTGAGAGGCCTATCAGGGTTTAGGGATGTTTAGGGTTTAGGGTTGAGGGTTTAGGGTTTCGGGTTTAGGGTTTAGGGTTTGGGGTTTAGGGTTCAGGTCCTACAAGAGAAACAGAACGCCACCGCTGGGGAACTCTTCAAATCGAGCCCGCGCTAAAGACAGGGTCTCCTCAACCGCTGTGCCTCCCAAACCCTGAACCCCAAGTCCCGAACCCTACATGAGCAGGGTTTAGGGTTTCGGGTTTAGGGTTTAGGGTTTAGGGATTAGGGTTTAGGGTTTAGGGTTTAGGGTGGGGTCCTTTTTAAACGGGTGCCGCCTCAGAATGGGTACCCAAAAAAGCACCCTAGTTTAGAGAACTAGCTACATGCTGAAAGGAAATATGCCGTCATCGCCGTGAGTGCCTTGGTTATGCTGGGAGCCATCTACCTGGCTGCCACAGACAATGCCGGGGGTCCCTCGCTCGAACCACTTCTTTTTTTTTTTTGGGGGGGGGGGGGGGGGGTGGTGTGGGGGGGAGTGTAGGGGCTCAGGGTTTGGGTGTTTTTGGCCTGACTTTGAGGGTTTGGGATTCGTTTTCGTGTTTATATATATATATATATATATATATATATATATATTTTTTTTTTTTTTTTTTGTTTTCGGAGTTTTGGTGTGAGGCGTTTTTCTCGAAGCCTTCCACTCTAAACCCAGGAGGGTTTTAGGGTTGAGGGTCTAGGGTCTAGGGTTTAGGGTTTAGGGTCTAGTGTCTATAGGGTTTAGGGTTTAGGGTTTAGGGTTTCCCGAAAAACCCGGAAAAAAGCCGAAGTTCCTGGAGCCCTGCGCCCCCCAACCCCACAAGCTTAAGCTGCTTTGAGGTTGGGAGGTTCCCCCCTTGTCTTTGTCATAGTTGGGTAACATTTTACAATTTTAAGGGTACTTAAACCCAATAATTAAGGAATATGAATTTAGATTTTTAATATTGTAAACGCTTGCGCGCGCCGCCTCGGCAGCCGGGCCGGCCCCAGGACAGGAAAGGAGGAAAGAGGGTTTCGCAAAAAAAGGGAGGAAGGGCAGAGCAGGTGGGGGGGGGGTCGGGGGGGGGGGCGGGGGGGGGTGAGGGGGGGGTGGGGGGGGGGGTGGGGGGGGGGGATCGGGGGGGGGGGGGGGTGGGGGGCCTTTGAGGCACCCCCCTGCAGGAGCCACCGACAAGCGGGACCCTCCACGGCATCGGTTTGCAGCTCCTCCAAGGGATTGGGGGGGGTCCCACAGGGCGGGGGGGGGGAAGGAGGCCCGATCCGGGTCTGCTTGTTCCAGACGCTTCTCGGCAGGAAGCCGAGGCGAATTATCCCAACAATGAACAAGTCATACTAACAGTCCTTAATAGGGATTGCAGTGCCATACTGCAAAAAAAGGGATCCAAAAAGGGACCATAATTTCGACAACCACCCGTTTGGACATCTACACATAAGCCCCAAGCCATAAATTGCGCCCGCAGCCCAAAAAAGTTGCGAAACTCAAGCTGGAGAGGGTTCAAGCGCAGGGAGGTCCAAGGAAGGGTGGACTTAAATTGCCATTTTCAGGGTGCCGGGTTAGGGTTGAACTAGGGTTTTAAAACGGGGTTGTTTGTGCCTTGTTTGGGGTTGGGTCTTTAACCTGATCTGCTACAGCAGACAGAGCCATCCGATATGTTGGGGGATGAGTAGGATAATTTCTTGATTGTTGAAGCCCAACCTAAACCCTAAACCCTGAACCCCAAACCCGAACCCCTGAACCCCTAAACCCTAAACTTACCCTAAACCCTAAACCCTAAACCCTAAACCCTAAACCCTAAACCCCTTAGCCCGCCAAGGAAAGAAGAAGAGCAGGGACACGTACCGCTCCAGGGCCTCGGCGCAGGCAGAGACCTTGCCCTCCTTAAAGGGTGTAGAGGTCTGGGTTTAGGGTTTAGGGTTTTAAGATTTAGGGTTCAGAGGGAAGTTTGGGCTCTTGGGGGGTATATAAGGGTTACCCATTTAAGGGACCATGCAACCTGCACATTCTTCAGCAGTTCCACATGGGTACCCTACATGTAACCCCAAACGCTGCCTACAATGGTCTAGAAGAACCCATGCTTTCGATCACCCCCTTACGCAGCCATCGTAAAGTGCAGCATGGCAAAGGGAAGCCCTAACCCCTAAACCCTAAACCCTAAACCCTAAACCCTAATCTCTAAACCCAAAACCCCAAACCCCAAACCCTAAACCCTAAACACTAAACACTAAACCCTAAACCCTAAACCTGAACACTGAACCCTAAACCTAACCCTAAACAGCTCTAAATCCTAAACCGCAATGATGGCGACTGCGGAGAGAGGTGCAAGGCGTTACTTCAGCCCCAGAACTGACACAAAACCTCCGTAGGGTTTAGAGCTTGGGAGCTGCAAGTACACATGAAGGTTCTATATGTATATATATATATGTATATATATATATATATGGTATATGTATATATACATATATATGTATATATGTATATATGGTACCCCCCCCCAGTGACCTACCCTTCTTCGCCTTGTCTCAAGTCACCCAGCTGCACTGCAGGCAAACTCAGTGTGCAACATAGCGTGTTTCCTAAGGCGTAGACGAAAATACAACTAAAATCGCATACACGGGACAGTAGAAAAACCAAGAACACCAAAACAAAAAAAAACAAAAAACAAACAAAACCAAAAAAACCAAAAAAACCAAAACCAAAAAAAACAAAAACACCAAAAAAACCAATTTTCCGGAACTCCCTATGAGGCTTCTCCAAGAGTCCCGGAAAATTGGTTTTTTTGGTTCTTTTGTTTTTTCGGTTTTGTTTTTTTTGGTTTTGGTATTTTTGGTTTTTTTGGTTTTGGTTTTGGTATTTTGGCTTTTTGGTTCGCCTTCACGGTCACGAGGCAACAACTACGCATTTTTAAGTGTGCTTTTCCAAAATAGTATACAAGTGGTCTTTCTAGTGCTTCAGAACTACGTGTTTCGTTATTATGTAAGTAGAACCGCTTCGCTTCTTTTTCAACTAGTGTTTGGTGCAGCTTTTGGTTGTACTCAAGTGTAGTAGACCTTATTCAGCCATTACTTGGTGCTCTGGTAGCTAAATTCGCATGGATACTAGTTGCCTGAAGCAGCAATTGCAATACTTGTCTTGAGAAAAAGCATTTATTGCTGAAAATTGGTTGCTTAAAAAGTACCTCCTACTCGTCCAGGGATACCCCAAAACCCTATAATCCAAACTTCACCAGAGATTCTCCTGACTAGCTTGCGCTTTTGTTTTTTTTTGTATTTGTGAATTTGATTGTGTATGGCCTTCACTAAGTACTTTTCTAGGATTCTTGTGCATGTTTTAGGCCTGGTTGTGCAAGTTGTGTTTTTCAAACATAGTATATAAGTGATCTTTCTTAAATACTTCAGACATCTTTGTTTCATCGTTATGTAAGTAGAATCGCTTCTATTTCCATTGTTGTGCATTTTTAAGCTTGCTTATGCAAATTGTGCTTTTCAGACATAGTATATAAGTGGTCTTTATTGAATACTTCAGCAATCTTTGTTTCATTGTTATGTAGGTAGAACCGCTTCCATTTCCGTTAATGTTTATTTCGTATTTGGTTGAGCATGGTCCTTTAAATAGTATTCACTTGGGTCAAATTGGGCTATTTGCTTAAGAATTACTCTAGTAGTTAAATTCGCATAGAATGAATATTTCAAACAAATTGTTTCACGAATATGTAACATAAGGTATTTCAGTGGACTTTGCAGATAGTATTTCAATAATACTCTGCCTGGTATAAGCACAACTGTTTCAATGCATTAGTTGCTCAACAAAGCACTATTTGCACACTTTGCCATGTTTTGGTTGAATATGATGCTTATTTCGTATTTTGGTTGAGTATGGTCCTTTAAATGGTATTCACTTGAGTCAAATTGGGCTATTTGCTTAATAATTACTCTAGTAGCTAAATTCGCATAGAAAGATTATTTCAAAGGGAAAAAATTTCATGAATATGTAAACATAAGGTATTTCAGTGGACTTTTCAGATAGTATTTGATTCATACTTTGCCTAATACAAACACAATTGTATAAACACGGTAGTTGCTCAACAAAGCATTATTTGCCCTTTAAACGCACACTTTGCCATTTTTTGGTTGAGAATGGTGTCTATTTCGTATCTTGGTTGAGTATGCTCCCTTAAATAATATTCACTTGAGTCAAATTGGGCTCTTTGCTGAATAAATACTCTAGTAGTTAAAAATGTTTCTCTATTTGATTAATGCTTTGCCTCGTGCAAACACAACTGTATAAATAAATTCGTTGCTCAACAAAACATTGACTGCCCTTTAAACGCACAACTTGCATAGAAAAAACACAGATCTAGACATCTGCAAACAGCATGGTCCGCTTCAGATTCAAAATGTAGATTAATCCAATGCCGGCTTATCGGGGCCTGTGAGGTGGGTGTCCCAGTAACTGTCCTTCATTACCCGGTGATTAACTACGCGGCTTTGGGCCTTCGTTGTTGTTTTTTGTTCAAAAGGCCTAAAAGGGCCTAAAAAGGGTAGGTCGCCGGGGGGGGGGGTAGCATATACATATATATATGTACAGATATATATATATATATATATGGTACCCCCCCCCCAGTGACCTACCCTTTTTCGCCTTGTCTCAAGTCACCCAGCTGCACTGCAAGCAAACTCGGTGTGCAATATAGCGTATTTCCTAGGGCGTAGACTAAAATACAACTAAAATCGCATACACGGGACAGTAGAAAAACCAAAAATACCAAAACCAAAAAAACCAAAAAACCAAAACCAAAAAAACCAAAAAAACCAAAACCAAAAAAACCAAAAAAACCAAAACCAAAAAAACCAAAAATACCAAAAAAACCAATTTTCCGGGACTCTCAGGAAATCCCTATGAGGCTTCTCCAAGAGTCCCGGAAAATAGGTTTTTTTGGTATTTTTGGTTTTTTTGGTTTTGGTTTTTTTGGTTTTTTGGTTTTGGTTTTTTTGGTTTTTTTGGTTTTTTGGTTTTGGTATTTTGGCTTTTTGGTTCGCCTTCACGGTCACGAGGCAACAACTACGCATTTTTGAGTGTGCTTATGCTAATTGTGCTAGAAATAGTATACAAGTGGTCTTTCTAGTGCTTCAGAACTATTTGTTTCGTTATTATGTAAGTAGAGCCGCTAGTGTTTAGTGCATCTTTTGGTTGTACTCAAGTGTAGTAGACCTTATTCAGCCATTACTTGGTGCTCTGGTAGCTCAATTCGCATGGATAATATTTGCCTGGTAAATGCGATTAATTATCTAGAAGCAGCATTTGCAATACTTGTCTTGAGAAAAAGCATTTATTGCTTAGAATTGTTTGCTTAAAAAGTGACTCCTACTCGTCCAGGAATACCCCAAAACCCTATAATCCAAACTTTACCAGAGATTCTCCTGAAAAGCTTGCGCTTTTGGATGTTTTTATGTATTTGTGAATTTGCTTGTGTATGGCCTTCCTTTTCTAGGATTCTTGTGCATTTTTTTAAGCCTGATTGCGCAAGTTGCGTTTTTCAAGCATAGTATATATGTGGTCTTTATTGAATACTTCAGACATCTTTGTTTCATCGTTGTGTAAGTAGAACCGCTTCTATTTCCATTATTGTGCATTTTTAAGCTTGCTCATGCAAATTGTGCTTTTCAGACATAGTAAATAAGTGGTCTTTAGTGAATACTTCAGCAATCTTTGTCTCATTGTTATGTAGGTAGAACCGTTTCCATTTCCGCAAGTGTTTATTTCGTATTTGGTTGAGTATGGTCCTTTAAATAGTATTCACTTGAGTCAAGTTGGGCTAGTTGCTTAAGAATTCCTCTAGTAGTTAAATTCGCATAGAATGAATACTTCAAAAAAATTGTTTCATGAATATGTAAACATAAGGTGTTTCATTTGACTTTGCAGATAGTACTTCAATAATACTTTGCCTGGTATAAACACAACTGTTTCAATGCATTAGTTGCTCAACAAAGCACTATTTGCCCTTTAAACCACACTTTGCCATATTTTGGTTGAATATGGTGCTGCTTTCGTATTTTGGTTGAGTATGGTCCTTTAAATGGTATTCACTTGAGTCAAATTGGGCTATTTGCTTAATTATTACTCTAGTAGCTAAATTCGCATAAAATGATTATTTCAAAAATAGAAACGATTCATGAATATGTAAACATAAGGTATTTCAGTGTACTTTTCAGAGAGCATACTTTGCCTAGTACAAACACAATTGTACAAATACAGTATTTGCACTTTAAACACACACTTTGCCATTTTTTGGTTGAGAATGGTGTTTATTTCGTATCTTGGTTGAGTATGCTCCTTTAAATAGTATTCACTTGAGTCAAATTGGGCTCTTTGCTTAATAATTACTCGAATAGCTAAATTCGTATAGAACCAAGAAAAATGTTTCACTATTTGATTAATACTTTGCCTCGTACAAACACAATTGTATAAATACATTAGTTGCTCAACAAAACATTAATTGCCCTTGAAACGCACAATTTGCATAGAAAAACACTGATCTAAACATCTAAAAACAGCATTGTCTGCTTCAGATTCAAAATGTAGATTCTTCCAATGCTGGCTTATCGGGGTCTGTGAGGTGGGTGTCCCAGTAACTGTCCTTCATTACCCGGTGATTAACTACGCGACTTTGGGGCCTTCTTTGTTAATTTTTGTTAAAAAGGCCTAAAAAGGCCTAAAGAGGGTAGGTCGCTGGGGGGGGGGGTAGCATATATATATATATATACATACATTATGGGTTTAGGACTTAGGACAGGGTTTAGGGTTTAGGGCGTAGGGTGTAGGGTCGAGATGCGTGGGCTTATCTGGAACACAGGGTATATAGGTTTGTACGGATTATATGGTTTATAGGGTAGATTGGGTTAGCTGGTTTCTAGCAGGGCGTGAGTGCAAGAGCAGCACAGACGGAGGGGATGCCCACGTTGCCTTGATGGTCAGGGTTTCCGCGTTTGACAACTTCCCGTGAAGGTCCATCTTCTCTCTTGATGAAGCCCAAACCCTAAACTTAAACCCTAAACCCCAAATCCTAAACCCCAAACCCTAAACCATAAAATGCAGGTCAACGACCGCTACTTCGTCAGCGATGTCACGTCCTATGCGGCCGGAAACTTCACGGCTGCCCATTGCCTGGCCGTTGTTCATGGTTTGGGGGGTTTAGGGTTTAGGGTTTGGGGTTCAGGGTTCAGGGTTTAGGGCTTAGGGTTTTAAACATCAACCCTGCGCTGCCCGGAACTCTACTTGATTCCCTACGAAGAGTAAGTCTAAAGCAAAGCTCCTCTCAACCCTGGGGACCTCATAAGGCTTGCCAGTGTGCCCCGTGTTCGAACAGCGAGACTCCAGCAGAGCAGTCAGGGGTTCCGTCCTCAACTTGTCCTAAACCCTAAACCCTTAAACCCTCAACCCTAAACCCTAAACTTTAAACCCTAAACCCTAAACCCTAATCATTAAGTCCTTGCTGGTCCCTAAGCCCTAAACTCCCGACGGCCCCCTAAGCCCGAAAGTCCCTAAGACGCCGGCTAGACTCCCTAGTCCGTAAAATCCTTAAGATGAGCCCCCAACCCTAAACCTTAAACCCTAAACCCGCAAACCCCAAACTCCAAACCCTAAACCCTAACTAAACCTTAAACCCCAAACCCTAACTTCCTTCAGCCCTGCATGGCAGCGGACTCCCCCACCAAAACAAGGAGGCTGCACACCACCACGCAGAGTCGGTGTCATTTTATTCCCTAAGCCCCCTGAGAAACAGAAGAAATTTCAACAACAAGGTCTGGGGGTTTACGATATTAGGGGTGCCTTACTGGGATCCTTATTCCAAGGGAATCATACTAGAAGGGTCTATTTTGGGGGTCCCCTTTTTTCGGAAACCCCCATCTGTCTTTGCGTATCTACCTAAATCTCAATACAGAATAGAGTGTGTACATATAAACCACACTACATCTTCATACATGAACAAAGAATAAAACATGTGTGCCCCTGAGAAACGAAAGTCAACAACAATCCTAATGCGTCTCTGTCTAAATCTCAATTTTCAATAAATTGTAATTTCAAAACACACTACATCTTCATAAATGAATGAAAAATAAATAACATATACATATATAAATAAATAAATACATAAATAAAAAAATAAACGTAAATAAATAAATAAACAAATAAATAAATAAATATATGTGTGCAAAGAACATAATGTCTATATCTGTTTATGCTATCTATCTGAACACACATATATGTATATGTATATGTATATGTATATGTATATGTATATGTCTATGTCTCTGTCTATGTCTATGTCTATGTCTATGTCTATGTATCTGTATATGTATATGTATATGTATATGTGTATGTATATGACTATGTATATGTATATGTATATGTATATGTATATGTATATGTATATGTATATGTATATGTATGCATGTATATGTATGGCGAGCCGAGGCCGCAAGCCCCTTCTTCAACGGCTGGTCCTACGCGGACGCCCGGGGGCTCGGCGTTCTCCCGTGAGCTTCCCCTCGGGCGCGTGAGGGGACCCGAGTTGAGAGGGTTTTGGAGGGTTCAGGGTTCAGGGTTCGGGGTTCAGGGTTTAGGGTTTAGGGTTAGGGTTTAGGGTTTAGGGCTAAGGTTTTGAGATGTTTTTCGGGTGTCGTTGGTGTTTTTCAAAGAGAGGGTTTGGGGTGGTTTTCAACTCCAAAACCCCCCCCTCCCCAATCCGGCCAAGAAACCCGAAACCCTGAACCCGAAAACCCCAGAACCCCAAAACCCCAACCCCAAACCCGCAAACCCAAGAAAGCCAGAACCCCTAAACCCCATTAACCCTAGCCTTAAACCCCTAAACCCCCAAACTGCAAAACCCTAAGAAAGCCCGAAGCCCTCAAACCCGTCAATCCCGCATGCCCCAAAGTCACCAACCACAATCCCCCTTAACGGTTTAGGGTTTAGGGTTTAGGGTTTAGGGTTAACCCCAAAACCCCGAAACCGCCCAAAGCCCCCAGCCCCCAAACCCCAAACCCACAAAACCAAACCCTCCAAAAAGCCCCCTCAACTCCACAGGCCCTGAACCCCCCAAGCCTAAACCATAAACCCTAAGCCCTGCACCCTAAACCCCAAACCCTAAACCCTAAACCCTAAACCCTATAGACCCTAAACCCTAAACCCTAAACCCTATAGACCCTAGACCCTAGACCCTAGACCCTAAACCCTAAACCCTAAACCCTAAACCCTATAGACCCTAAACCCTAAACCCTAAACCCCAAACCCCAAACCCTAAACCCTAAACCCTAAACCCGAAACCCCAAAAGGTCTCCTACGGCCTGGACGGCGTGGGCATCCGCGCCGAGGGCATGATCGGCTTCTCGGGGGCCCTGCAGCGCTGTCCGGAGCGCGCCCCTCCTGCCCTTCCTTTGTGGGTTTCGGGTTTAGGGTTTAGGGTTTGGGGTTTAGGGTTTAGGGTTTAGGGTTTGGGGTTTAGGGTTTAGGGTTTGGGGTTTAGGGGTTTGGGGTTTAGGGTTTGGGGTTTGGGGGTTTGGGGTTTAAGGTTTCGGGTTTAGGGTTTGGGGTTTAGGGTTTGGGGTGTTGGGTTTGGGGTTTAGGGTTTGGGGCTTAGGCTTCAGGGTTTCTTTGTTCCCCCCCTTTTCTTCGCCCCATTTTTTTCCTCCCGAGTGTTGTTTTTTTAGTTTTTTGTTGTTTTTTTGTCTTTGTGTTATGTTTTTTGGTTTTGTTTTGGGGGTTGCTGCTTGATTTTCTTCTTCGAAAGGGTCTAGGCCATTGAGGTCAAACCCTAAACCCGCAATAAAGCCCGAAACCCTAAACCCTAAAGCGGGTTGGGGGGTTTTTAAGGCTCAAGATCGGTTGAGTGGCCGAGATCACGTGCAAAGCACGCCCAAGACACAGACATCCTTCCTAGGTAGGATAAGGGGGGCCCTTAAAAGCTTAAAAGGGAGCCCTTCTTAACCCTCTTCAGGCTCTCTGAAACAGGGACCTTATTCAGAGGGTCTATATACCGAAGGGTCCCCCTCATCCTATCCCCTAATCCTCAGCCGACAAGTCCTGAAGACTTAAAGATGCTTGGCCCTTCTGAAGCCTAAGTCGCCTTGGGCCGAAGCCTAAAGCCTAAAGCCTAAAGCCTAAAGCCTAAAGCCTAAAGCCTAAAGCCTAAAGCCTAAAGCCTAAAGCCTAAAGCCTAAAGCCTAAAGCCTAAAGCCTAAAGCCTAAAGCCTAAAGCCTAAAGCTTAGAGGCTAACGCCTAAAGCCTAAAGCCTAACGCCTAAAGGCTAAAGCCTAAACCCTAAATCCCTAAAACCCCCCAAAGCCGCAGGACGAGGGCGAGGGCCTGGAGGGCGGCGCGGTACCCCCGAGCTATGACCTGAGGGTGCAGAAGCCAGGCCCTTTTAGGGTTTAGGGTTTAGGGTTTGGGGTTTAGGGTTTGGGGTGTGGGGAGCCGTCAGTGGTTGCGGGTTCAGGGTTATTGAGGGTTTAGGTTTAGGGCTCGGGGTTGTTTTGGTCTAGGAGGGCTTGCGAGGGAGTTCAAGGGTTTATAAGGGTTTCGGGCGAAGAGCCTTGTACTTAATGGGACACACGCCAGGGAATTAATTTGCAATGTTTTTAGCGAGTTCCTTTGCGAAGGGATCGCCTTTTCTTAGTGCATTTTCGTGTTCCTTGTTTTTTCGTGTGGAGTAAGGAGGGAGGGGTAGGCAGAAACTCGCGCCAATTTTCTCTCCAGTTTTGCTTGCAATTTCGTGTTTTTTTTTTTTTTATTTGCGCTGTTTTTTTTCGTTATCGTTTCGCGATTTTTTTCGCCAGTTTGTATGGAAGTGGCGAAACAGTAGCAAAACAGTAGCGAGTTGTGAGGGCGGAGGGTTCTGCGGGTTTAAGGTTTAGGGTCATGAGGTTAAACCTTAAACCCCAAACCCTAAACCCTAAACCCTAAACCCTAGCCCCAAACCCTAAACCCTAAACCCTAAACCCTAAACCCTAAACCCTAAACCCTAAACCCTAAACCCTCGTTTTTTAAAAGCCTTTCTGGCCGCTTCTGGCAGGCTGCGAAGCCGGCCCCGTGTACGATCAGGGCAACTGCTCATCCAGCTCCTCATCCGTGCCAACAAAGGGTTTGGGGTTTAGGGTTCAGGGTTTAGGGGTTAGGGTTTGGGGTTTAGGGTTTAGGGTTCAGGGCTGAGGGTTCAGGGTCCAACGTGTATGGTCCGCTTTGTTTGGCTTCGGGCTCAGGATTTAGGACCTAAGTTTCGCCGTTCTGACCCGTAGTTTAGCTCAACCGCCACATGCACGGGCCTGTGCTGCGACCCTAAACCCTAAACCTTAAACCCTTGACCCTAAACCCTAAACCCTAAACCCAAAACGCTAAACCCTAAACCCTAAACCCTTTAAGTTTTGCACCGCTGCGGGTCACTGAGGCTATGCCATCGCCGCGGCCACTGCGCTGTCATCGCGATTCTGCTCCTCACTGGCCAAAGGATAGGGTTTAGGATTTAGGGTTTAGGGTTTTTGTCGGTAGAGGAGCCATACTTACGCTGCAACATCCGCGTTTTTGTGGGAGTTTCCTCCTTCCGAATCGGAAGGGTGAGAGGGTAGCTTTGAACATCATGGCCCCTAAACCCTAAACCCTAAACCCTAAACCCTGAACCCTAAACCCTAAACCCTAAATCCTAAACCCTACACCCTAAACCCTAAACCCTAAACCCTGAACCCTAAACCCTGAACCCTGAATCCTGAACCCTGAACCCTAAACCCTAAACCCTAAACCCTAAACCCTAAACCCTAAACCCCCAAGCATCCTCAACCCTAATCATCCTGGCAGCTCAGGCTTCAGCGATCCAGAAGCCTATGCCGAGTACCGGTCTCGGAGTTTGCGGGTTCGGGTTTTTGTTTGGGTTGCTTTTTGGGTTAGGGTTTAGGGTTTAGGGTTTAGGGTTTAGGGTTTAGGGTTTAGGGTTTAGGGTTTAGGGTTTAGGGTTTAGGGTTTAGGGTTTAGGGTTTAGGGTTTAGGGTTTAGGGTTCAGCGTTTAGGGTTGGTTTAGGGCCACAAGAGACTGCGCCCAGGACGCATCTGTCCCCGCAGCAGATCGTGTCCTGCGACAAGAAGAGCCCAGCGCCTGAAGAATTGATGCTCCCCCCAAGCCCGACACCTTCTTGCAAGGGACTCAAGCAAGAACCCTTAATAAGGGACCTTAAGGGTCACTTGGGGGTTATTTACCTCTTAAGGGTCGCTTGGGGGTTATTTAGGGGCTACTTAGGCATATCGGGGCTTTATCCCAGAAGCCTACTTGGAGGTTCATGGTACTTTTCAAGACCAACCTGACTGTACTGAAAACTGTGCTTCTAACCATATCAGGCACCCCAGGGGATTTTACGTTTAGGGTTTGGCGTTTGGGGTTTAGGGTTTAGGGTTTCTAAGTACAGTTATAATTGGTTAGCCGTTTAGTTTCTTGACCCCGAATTTTGGATGTTCCCCGAAATATTAACAGTCCTTACTTGGGATTTTTTTCGGAGGTACTAGAATCCCTGTTTAGGGTTTGTTAGTAGAAGGGGGAACATCTCATCCCCAAACTCTAAACCCTGCAAACCCTAGACTCTAAACCCTAAACCCCGAACCTTAAACCCTGAACCCTAAACCCTAAGCCCAAAACCCTGAACCCTAAACGACTCGACGCCCGAGGTGCGGGCTGCAACGGCGGAGGCATCGACGCCGTGTGGAGCTACATCGAGCGAAGAGGCCTATTCCCCGAGCGGCTCCGGCAGAGAGATCCCTGAACCCTCAACCCTAAACCCTAAATCCTCAAACCTAAACCCTAAAGTCTAAACCCTAGACCCTAAACCCTGAACCCTAAACCCTGAACCCTAAACCCTAACCCGGAAACCCAAGGCGCGCTGACCCTATAAAGGGCTGGAAGGTGAGATTGTATATGTTTTTGTTTTGCCTGTCCGCTTGTGCCTGCTTCGTCAGCTGGGCTGCTTCCTGAAAACAATCCTAAGCCCTAGAACCAAAGCATAAACCCTCTAAAACTAAACCCTGAATTCGGATAGCTTCTAATTTGCGGGTTCTACTTGTGCCTTGCACTTGCACTCAAAGCAGCAACTCTAGGAACCCACGTTTGGGGTTTAGGGTTTAGGGTTTAGGGTTTAGGGTTGTTGGTAGCGAAGACTGATCCCGGGAAGACTGGTCGATTTTTCGGTACAGGCCTTGCCTGTAAATGGTGCAGTTGGTGCTCTTGGTCGGTAACAGCAACGGACCCCGAAAGCCTTAAACCCCCAACCACCTAGAGCCAAGTCCTAAACTCCAAACCCTAAACTCTAAACCCTAAATCCAAACCCTCAACAACAAAGCCCAAACCCCAAACCCTCATACATCAGAGCGGTGAGGCGCAACGCCGAAGCAAACTCACAGACACAGTGGGAATCTGGAGACAAACGGTACTTCCAGACCCGAACACCCACGTTGTTGTTCTATGGGGTTCTCGCGGGTTGAGGCAGCGTTGTCATCACCCTAAAACCCTAAACCCTTAACTAAATCCACATTGGGGGTGTACGAAAATAGGGTAGCCCTAGAATAGACCCCTAAAGCATAGGATTCCCTTATAAGAAGGACCCCAAAAAGGGTACCCCTAATTTCGGACCCTAAAAACCTTAAACCCTAAACCCTAAACCCTAAACCCTAAACCCTAAACCCTAAACCCTAAACCCTAAACCCTAAAACCTAAGCCCAAACCCTAAACCCCCTGCATCCTCTGACAGCTAAGCTGAAGTTCCTTTAGTGCAGCCTAGAACTCTGAGGATCACCTGAAGCCGCTTCAGGGTTTTGTTGGGGCTTCGGGGGTTTCGGGTTTAAGGTTTAGGGTTCGGGGGGTTTAGGGTTTAGGGTTTAGGGTTTAGGGTTTAAGGTTTAAGGTTTAGGGTTTAGGGCTTGGGGTTGAACCTCCAAGTATTTTGGGCCTCAGGGTTTAGGAGAGTGCTAGGGTTTACGGCTTGGGGGTCGAAGTGGTTTCCTTAGATTCAGCACCCTAAACCCTAAACCCTAAACCCTAAACCCTAAACGCTAAACCTTACCCCTAAACCCTAAACCCTAAACCCTCAAAGGCCAGGATAAATAGAAATTGTAGGTGTTTCAGAACGAGTAGCTCGTGCCATCACCCCAGCCCCCAGCCCCACAGCCCCAGCCCCCCAAGCCCCAGAGCCCCAGCCCCAGCCAAGCCCCAGCCCCGGCCCCAGCCCCAGCAGCCCAGCCGTCAAAGCCAAACCCTTGTTCAAAAGCAAAAGAAAAAACCGGTCAAAACCCCATCAAAACCCCGTCAAAACCCCGTCAAAACTCCGGACACGAACCCTATACAATTTCTATAAACCCTAAACCCTAAACCCTAAACCCGAAACCCTAAACCCTAAACCCTTAAACCCAGGTCGTGCGTGCCGTTCGCTGGGGCCAAGTCGGCCGCTTGCAAGAGCGACTGCAACCAGGAGCTTGGGTCCCCCCCAACCCCTAAGCCTTGGGATCTTCCCTCTTATGGGGATTAGGGTAGGGTTTAGGGTTTGGGGTTTAAGGTTTAAGGTTCAGGGTTTAGGGTTTAGGGTTTAGGGTTTAGGGTTTAGGGTTTAGGGTTTCAGGTTTAAGGTTCAGGGTTGGGATCTTCCCCCTTATACTAGCAGTCCTTAATGGGGATTCTAGTACCCCCTATGATTATCCCTATGAAGGACTGTCCGTATAAGGAGGAACGTCCCCACCTAAACCCCCAAAGACCTGAAACCCTAATCCCAAAAACCCTAAAGCCGTGAAGTCCAAAAACCCCTAAACCCCAAACAGCCCTAAACTCTAAACCCTTCAGCCCTACACCCTGAAACCCTAAACCCCATGTGCCCACAAAGTGTATTCTTCGGCCCGACAGCTACGAGATAGAGGAACCCCAAAACCGCCAAAACCCCAAACCCCTAGAACCCTAACAGTCAACCCCGAGAACCCTAAACTCTACACCCAGAAACCCCTGGAAACCCTAAACCTTAAACCCTGAACCCTAAGCCCTACACCCTAAACGCAAGGAGCAGAAGCGTAAAGCGCTGGACCACTGCCTCATGGGCGGCGAGAAGCGGATTAAGTGCCTGGGCGTTACGTGGGGCCGGAGGTGTTTAGGGTTTAGGGTACTCAAGGGAGCCATACTCGAACCTCTAAGGATGTACCCCCAAAATTTTTCTCCTAGTTTGGCCCTTATGTTGCCTGAGAGGATCTGTCCCCAAACCCAAGGGTACAACCTTAGGGGTCCAAAAATGAGGTTTAGAGTTTAGGGTTTAGGGCACGAAGCCCGAGACCTGAAGCCTCTTGAGATTTCAAAAGGATGGTGGGGTCTTCCGGTCTCCACTGTTTGGGGCACAGTGGGTTGTCAGCGAAACATGTACTTGAAGGTTCATGGTGTTTCTCAACCAATCATCAACCTCCAAGTAGAAGTCGGTTTTTCGGCTCGGTGGTGCTTCTTTTGACGGATGCTATTAGCTTGCCCCTGAATCCTAAACCCCAAGAAGTCCGACGCCCCATCCCAAATGTTGGGGTTTCGGGTTTAGGGTTTAGGGTTTGGGGTTTGGGGTTTAGGGTTGAGGGTTGAGGGTTTAGGGTTTCATCCTGAACCTAAAACTCAAATGCCACACTCACGCTTCCAGTACCCGCTCAGCTCGAGTCCAAGGCGTGAGATGTACAATCGAGGCCTGAACTATTTGAGTTCTTGCTTTCGGGTTTAGGGTTTAGGTTTAGGGTTTGGGTTAGGGTTTAGGGTTTAGGGTTTAGGGTTTGGGGGATTCCGAAAATAGGGGTAACCTTTTGGGAGGGTCCAATAGCAAGGATGATAGTATTTGGGGTATATAAGGGGTATTCTTATTTTGGGAAATGCCCATGTGAGTTCCTGGTTTTGGGTGTATGATTATAATTGCTAGGTTATTATTGCTGTTATTGTCATCATCGTTGGTTTTTGTTTTTTGTTGTTACTGGCCCGCACTGTATGTTTACGTGCGCAGAACATGCCGATCACATCGGTATCTATACTGTTTCGCATGGTTGACAGACCGAGAAAGTCGATGCCAGAAGTGTTTTCACCAATTGCCATTTTGCGGAAAGCCGAAGTGCCGATGAATCAGCATTTGCAGTGTTTCGGGTGTGGTTCCCATGTCTATACCATCGTTATTTACACGCGTATTCGCGACTTGCTAGATTGCGGAAAACCAAAATGCCGATAGCATCGGCATTTGCAGAGAATCCAGTAGACAGATCATCCCATTCCCAAGAGCGACGTCCATGTTACAAGTGCTTGCGAATGACCTTCACTCTCCCGATGGATGTCCCCAAAACAAACTTAATGCATGTCCTCCTGTGATCGTATAAGATTCCGTTCAGTAGACTTCCCAACAGCAACGTTCTTCCAGTACAAATTCTACCTCTGCTGCTTAAATGAAAGTTGCATTTATATCACGCAGGCTCTCCAGAATACAACGCTAAACAATAGACACACCTAAAATGCCGACACAGACGATGAAAACGCAATGTTTCTGAACATGCGACATGCTGTTTGTTCCATCCAGGCCATACAAAATGCATATCCCCACACGCTCTGCTCCGCGCTCGTCTACGCAACGTCCGCGGCTATTCTTGTCATTGATTCGCATTTTGATTGTTATTCCTTGTGCTTGTTGTTCCAGAAATGGTTCTTTGTACTTGTCCATCGTCATCATCGAATCATCATCATCATCATCATCATCATCATCATCATCATCATCATCATCATCATCATCATCATCATCATCATCATCATCATCATCATCGTCATCGTCATCACCATCACCATCACCATCGTCATCATCATCATCATCATCATCATCATCATCATCATCATCATCAGAATCATCATCGTTCACATTGCAATCATCATTTTCGCATTTTCTTATCGACTCTATGGTCATTCTTGTCACAATCGCTACTCTGGCAATGACTTGTTGGTGCTATTGACATCATTAGCTGTTGGTGGTTACTCTTCTGGCTGTCTCGCATCGGGGGATGTGTCGGGTTGAACGGTTGAGGGTTTGGGGTTTGGGGTTTAGGGGTGAGGGTTTGGGGTTTCGGGTTTAGGGTTTGGGGTTTAGGGTTTAGGGTTTATGGTTTAGGATTCAAAGTTCACGGGTTGGGGGGGCTCTCGGCCTGCTTTTCGGGCACTGTCGGCCTGCTTTTGCTTAGGGCCTAGGGGCTGTGTGTTCAAATGCGTCGTTGGAGGCCCGGTAGTCATCCCAGTCCTGCTCAAAGACGACTTCCTCGTCTACAAGAAGCACGGCTCAACAGAGCTGTCTGCGCTCTAGGGGTAGGCCACAAACCCGAGTCGTTTCCTGGACCCTTCGATGGTCCCTTACCTCCTTCGACGGGTTCTGAAGTATGGTTGTATAGGGTTTCTGAGGGGTATAAAAGGGGTCCCCTTTCTAAGGGCCCATACGAAGGGACCGTGTAACTACCCTAAATTGAGGTGCCTTCTACAGTCAAACCCTAAACCCTAAACCCTAAACCCTAAACCCTAAACCCCAAACCCTAAACCCTAAACCCTAAACCCCAAACCCTAAACCCTAAACCCTTAACCTTAGGCCCTAAACCCAGGAGCGGGGTCTACACGCCCACGGACAACGCCAATCAGCAGTACGGGGCGATCCCTGGCTGCCGAAAAGTAGGGTTTAGGGTTTAGGGTTTAGGGTTTGGGGTTTAGGGTTTAGGGTTTAGGTTTCAGGGTCTCAAAGTTTCAGGGTTTCAGGGTCTCCGGGTCTCAGGGTCTGAGTCAGGGTTTCAGGGTCTCAGGGTCTCAAGGTCAGGGTTTCAGGGTTGATGTCTTGGGCTCAGGGTTTAGGAGACGGTTTTAGGGGTCTAGGGTCTAGGAGTTTAGGGTTTAGGTGTCTAGAACTCAGCGGTTTAGGGTTTAGGGTTTAGGGTTGAGGGTTGTTCTAACTCACGTACCTTCGAGGTAGCTTTGCTCAGAGGGTGGCTTGGAAGAAAGACCTCCGAAAAGCCCTCGCAAAGGCCTAAACCCCTAAACCGCCCTGAGCCCCTAAACCCCTGAAACCCTACACCCCAAGCCCCTAACAACCTAAGCCCCCAAACCCCTAAACCCCTAAAACCCTCAACCTTGGCCTAAACCCTAAACCCCTAAACCCTTACGACCCTCCCGAAACCCCTAAACCATACACACCTGAGCCCCTAAACCCCCAAACTCTAAACCCTAAAACAAAAATCCGTAAACCTAAATCCTAAACCCCTAAACCCCTAAACCCCTAAACCCCTAAACCCCTAAACCCCTAAACCCCTAAACCCCTAAACCCCTAAACCCCTAAACCCCTAAACCCCTAAACCCCTAAACCCCTAAACCCCTAAACCCTAAACCCCTAAACCCTAAACCCTAAACAACCCTAAACCCCTAAACCCCTAACCCCTAAGAGCCTAAACCCGAACCCTAAACCCTAAACCCTAAACCCTAAATGCTAACAAGCCCGGGGTTGCCAGGGTCTCTGCAGCCACAGGTGCAGCTTCATGTTCAGTGTAAGGGCGTCTCAGTCCCAACCCCCGTCCCCCCAGCTCGAGGGAATAGGGTTTAGGGTTTAGGGTTTAGGGTTTCAATGCCCCCCCCCCCCCCCCCGCGCCGATAATGAGGGAATATGCTCAACTATGTAGCGAAACAAAGTCTGCTCCACACGGGGTTTTCCGCAAGCCGCCTAAAAACCCTGAGCCCTAAACCCTGAGCCGTAAACCCTGAACCCGAAGCCCAAGGAACGGTGAGCCTCTCGTCACGGCCGTGACCATCATGGGCTGGGGCCGATCGGAGGGTACGCCCTACTGGCTCGCCAGGACCCGAGCTTTCCTGCGTAGTGGTTCAAGGGATTGTTTGGGCTTAAGGGGTTTAAGGGGTTTAGGGTTTAGGGTTTAGGGTTTAGGGTTTAGGGTTTAGGGTTTAGGGGGATTTACGTGTTTAGAGGCTTAAGGGGTTGAGGGGTTTAGGGGGTTTCAGGGTTATGGGGCTCTCAGGGTTGAGGGTGTTGCCAAATATCTTTCCCCTTCTACGAACAGTCCTTAGGAATTCTGGTGCCCCCGATTTGAATCCTTATTATTAGGGATTGCGAGCATAAGGGGAACATCCCAACTTAAGCCCTGAAAGCCCTAACCCCTAACCCCTGAAACCCTTTGGAGCCTACCCCTGGGTTTGCCCGGCCAGGTTTGATGTTGTGCTTTCTATTTTCCACCACCCCCCAAGCTGAGACCTGGAACCCATGGGGTTTAGGGTTTAGGGTTTAGGTTTTCAACTTGTTTCTTGACACAAGGAAATCCCTTTCACAACAGTTTGACGTATTTGGATTACATGCTTTGCTGCATGTTATGATTCGCTGACAGTATGTTCGCAGATTCATTAACACATGTCTACTGCAAGTGGCAGGGGTATGTTCAAAGATCACAGGGGTTGGCAGGATTTCAGGGCCCTGAGGCTTCGTCCGACGGGACAGAGGAATGGTTTAGGGTTTAGGGTTTAGGGTTCGGGTTTGATATTTAAATTTCGGGATACAGATCCCACATTGAGGGTTTTTACGGTGCTGCGGTCAGGGGTTCTGGGCTTTCCGAGGTTTCAGTGTTGCGGGGGTCTTGGGTTCATGGTTTTAAGCAATGTTTCGCAGTTGAATGCATCAGGTGACTGTCCAGGAAGAGATGCCAATATTGTTGTGCTATGATACTTGTATTGTAGTCTCAAAATTTTTTTTTAATGCAAAAGGGGGGGAGGCTTTAGGGGTGTGTTGGTAGAACCTTTAATCAAACCCTCCAACCCTCCAACCCTCCAACCCTCCAACCCTCCAACCCTCCAACCCTCCGACCCTCCGACCCTCCAACCCTCCAACCCTCCAACCCTCCAACCCTCCAACCCTCACAGCCCTCACAACCCTCAAAACCAAAGCTAAGGAGACTGTTGTTCACCGTAGCACCCTCAGGTCAAGTCGTTAACAGCGGCCCTAAACTCTACACCCTAAATCCCAAACCCTAGCCCTAAACCCTAAACCCTAAACCCTAAACCCTAAACCCTAAACCCTAAACCCTAAACCCTAAACCCTAAACCCCAAACCCCCCCCAAAAGACCATGCCAAGGTCAAGAACTCCTGGGGCACTCAGTGGGGTGAGGAGGGCTACGCGCGGATCGCCATCGGCACCGGCGCCGTCCGAGAGGCGCTCTTGGGGATGCTAAGAGGTTTAGGGTTTAGGGTTTAGGGTTTAGGGTTTAGGGTTTAGGGTTTAGGGTTTAGGGTGCTTGGGTGCTTGGGGCGGGGTGCATTTGGGGCTGGGTTCTTCGTGGGCCGGAGCGAGTGGCAGAGTCTTGAGGCTTGTGCATAAGGAATAGGCTACCCCCAATCTAAAGAAAAAGGGCCTGTAATGGCCCGTGGGGGTTTCTCTACCATTTGTGCCCTTTTGAGTATACGGAACCATATCATGAGGAACATGTGGTCATAGAGACCAAACAAGGGCAAAACATCTTCGACCCGTCGCCGTGTTATGGTCGCATAGCACCGGATGCACCTTCGAGGGTTTGGGGCGCGGGGTTGAGTGCTCCGGGTGGCAGCATCCAGTCTCTACCCTGACACTCCTCTCGGCGTCCCAACAGAGACGGTAGCACCAGAGGTTCTGGCGTTGGAGAGTTCGGGTTTAGTTTGGGGTGTAGGGTTTAGGGTTTAGGGTTTAGGGTTTAGGGTTTTGTCACTGTGCAGTCCTTTTGGCACGAAGGCCGTGCCTCCAGTGTTCCGAGCTGCCCTGAGCAGCATGCTTGAAACATGGCGACTGCAGCATCCCCAACTCTTCAAAACCCCCCAAGCCCTAAACCCTGAACCCCGAAACCCTTCCCCCCCCCCCCCCAAAAAAAAAAAAAATTCCAAAAAAGCGAAAACCCGACCCTTCCAAGCCCTAAACCCTAAACCCTAAACCCTAAACCCTAAACCCTAAACCCTAAACCCTAAACCCTAAACCCTAAACCCTAAATCCAAGACCCTAGACCCTAAACCCGAAACCCTAGACCCTAAGAAACTTGGGGGCAACGTGGATCTGTGGCAGGAGTCGGCCATCGTCGGCTATGCCGCCACCCCGGAGGCCCTGGAAGAAGACGCGCGAAAGAAGGAGGCACCGCCTGGAGGGTTTAGGGTTTAGGGTTTGGGGTTTTCATTGTACTACAATAACCCCCCCCCCCCCCCCCCTAACCCCGTTTTGATTTATTCAGGCCCCTAGAATACTCTTTGGGGCGATTCTTGGGAGGTGCCGTCCTTTGGGCTTCAAGCTCCAGGGGCCAGGGGGCTTAGGGCTTAGGGCCAGGTCTTGAGGTTTGGGCATGGGGGCAAGACCCTAAACCCTAAACCCTAAACCCTAAACCCTAAACCCTAAGCCCTAAACCCTAAACCCTAAATATTCGTGAGGATCCGGTTTCAAGTGTTGGCAGCCTAAGACCCTGCGCTAAGCCGAGCCTTGTTAACTGTCCACGCGGCTTCTTCTCGCGCATCCTGATTGATACATGGACGACCATGATTGAGTCAGGTTTAGTGGTTTTGTTCTGGGCAGGTTCGCGCACCGCAGAATCCTGCATAAGTCGTGCCCTGGGGAATGTTTTTCTGGAAGCCGTGCTTCGGTTCAACGCCTGCATGCCCGTTGAATGAACAAGATATTGAATTGCTGCGGCTCACTGGGGGTTTCACGGAACACAAAAGACTGAACAAGATACTGAGTTGTTTGTTCTGCGAGAGCGGGCCCTCCTATACGGCGTGACTTGGGATGTTCCCCCTTATGCTAACAGTCCTTAATGCTAGTAGCCCCCCCCCAATATAATCCCTGCTAGTATAAGGGGGAACATCCCAAAGGTATGACCATCAGTTTATCTAAAACCATCCCTCCCAGCTGCACTTTCGGTATGGCAACCCTGCTCCGACCATAGAAGCCCATACTAAGGGGACCATGTAACGACCTTAAGACTTCTGAACCGGCCCACAACGTAGTCCTTTGTTCCGCACAGAAGGACCGTATACAGCTTCCTATACTGGATAGAGAAGGTCACGACTGAAAGATTCTTTCCGGAGGTTTGAGACTCAGACCATAGCGGCCTCACACCCTAACCAGCAGTACAACAAAATGTACATGGCAGCGGCGTGCAGGGCTCTAGCAAAAAAACCATATATGCCCTAACCCTTGGGCTGAAAGTCAACACGAAGCCCCAAATATGGGTTTGGGGTTTAGGGTGTAGGGTTTAAGGACCCTTAAACTCTAAACCCCTGCTTCTTGGGACGGCCCAAAAAATGGGAGGCCGCTGAGAAGCGGCGGGAGGAGTTGAAGAAGGAGCGCGCAGAGCGTGTCGCGCTCAGCGGGGCCTCTTGCGGGCTTTAAAATGGGTTTAGGGTTTAGGGTTTCGGGTTTCGGGTTTAGGGTTTAGGGCTTAGGGTTGAGGGTTTAGGGTTTAGGGTTTTAGGGCTTAGGGTTGACGGTTCTAGGGACCCAAAATCCCTAAACCCCTGAACCCCGAAACCCTCAACCCTACGGTTGCAGGATCTCAGAGGGTTGGGGTTCAGAGTTTCGGGTGGGTTTGAAGTTTGAAGAGGTTTCGGGTTTAACGTTTAGGGTTTTGGTCTCATGGTTTAGGGTGTGCCTGAACCCTAAACCTTAAACCCTAAACCCTAAACCCTAACCCTAAAGCCATGTTCCAAGCGATGCCGTCCCGACCGCCCTCTACCAAGAATGGTGGACGTCGATACCGGCAGGCCAGGGAGCCCTGGTCATCACGGTCTCTATGAAGCAAGCGGTGACGCTGTCTGAGCAGTTCGACAGCTTGAGGATCGATTGCTCCGTCCTGCTCTTCGAAGCACAAGTTGCGCAAGACGAATGTCATTGTGTCGATGTTGGTTGCCCAGCGATCGATTACCATCCCGTGGGTGTTTCTGGTGATTGACACCGGCCTGGATATGGTGGTGCTTGAAGGCATCCCGTACCTGATGACGGTATCACGCAACAACGCACTGCAACGTGCCTATCGCACTGCAAGGGTGGCTCCAGGAACTGTGCTCCGCATGCGCAGGCCGGTGGACTTCACGCCAGTCGTGAAGGTCAGCGTCGTCCTCGCCTCGGTCGAGACCAACCCTTCCACGTCCATCGAAGACTTGCTGGACGAACACCCCCACGTTATGTCAGCACATTCGGGGTCTCACGTGCAAAGCATTATGCAGCGCATGGTCAATTCCAAGAGCTTTGTGATCGTGCTTGAAAATGAGCTCGTTCACTACTCAACGCTGCAGCTGCGCAAAGGTCGCGTGCTCCTGGATGAGCCGAAACTGGCTCTCCCTGCGTTGATCGTGCGCCGCACCTCTCATTTGCGTCTTTGGTGTTGCAAAATTCCATGGGCATAAACGTGCCCGAAGCACATGACGACATCGCTGCACTTGCACGAACGTATGGACTCATCCCCGATGAAGATTCCAATTTACAAGAACTGACCGCTACCGTGTCCAAACTCATGAGAGCCAAAGTGCTTCTCTGGACAAAGCTGGATGGACGGTGGACGCTCCTCCAGCACCACGATGGCAGCATTTCCACTCGATGCCTAACGTTGCTGCGATACGAAGACGCAGTCACAGTGAGGCCAGTCAGACAGCTGATGGCGGGCATCACGTGTGTCCGATTTCGGGACTACTCGCATGCCCCATCAGCAGCAACCTCGCCCCTGCAGACACCAGGAGCAGGCGGCCCTTCTTTCTTAGGTGCGTTAGGAGTAGGAATCCACTTGATGTACCCAGTGGATCCGGAACCTGAGATGGACTCCTTGTGGTGGTGCTGGGAGGACTTGCTGTCCTTACATGCCATCGCCACAGTGGCTACAGGCGAGTCACGCGTTGACCATGTGGTGTCCCAGTTGCTAATTCAAGACAGGGTGGTGCAGCCTGGAGAAGCTGACGACCATGGACTGAAGGATGAAATCCAATCTCGGTGGAACGACACCGTTGCCGCCGGGGGGGACCGGGCCGGCGGTGTTCGAGCGACTCTTTGGCGACTCTTCGGCTCTGCAATATTTGAAGCTGTCGAGCAGCCAGGTGTGCCTTTTGTCGTTCTGACTCGTGACGAGCGAGCGTTCACGATCACTCCCATGCCGTTCACGCGCCCCGGTACGAGGACAAAGGCTCATGGTAGTAATCGTGGAAGGTCACCGCGCTTCTATGGGATCGCGTGCAGGCAGCGTCAGAGGTGGTCGAGACGACCCGACAGTGCTGACGCGCCTGTTTGTTCTTCCCGAAGATTTGAGGCGCGTTGAAATGTCTCCTGTCGATTTGATCACGTCGCCAACAGAGATGCTGAGTGCGCCCGCGGTGTATCACTCCTTAGAGGACGCTGGGGCTTTGTCGGTGGTGGCAAATGTCTATGTCACCAGACGCTCCACGCCCGTGCTTTCTGCGTGGCTACTGCAAAAAGCATAGGATGGGAATGAACCCCCATTAGGAGAAGCAAGTTTAGGAGGACCCCCCGAAAGACTTGTGCCCGCACCAATTTCACCCCGATTTTTACTATTTATTGTGTCGTCCTGATCACTCTGGACTATTATACCACTCCCAACAGGTATACCCCTGATGTCAGTCTATAGCAGATTCCCTACTAGTGTATAGCTTGAAGAATCCCTAAATTCTAAAACCCTAAGCGCTTAGCACCCAAAACCCCAAACCCTAAAACCCTAAACCCCTAAACCCGAAACCCAAAACCCTAAACCCTAAACCCCTAAACCCCTAAACCCCTAAACCCCTAAACCCCTAAACCCCTAAACCCCTAAACCCCTAAACCCCTAAACCCCTAAACCCCTAAATCCTAAAGCCTAAAACCCCTAAGCCCCTAAACCCCTAAACCCTTAAAACCCAAAACCCCTCAACCCCTAACCCCCCGAACCCTAAACCCTAAACCTTTTTAAAACCCAAAACAGGCGACGCGCGAATCCGAGAGCGAGAGGAGGCGCGCGCGGCCGAGGCGGCGGCGAAGGCTGGAGAAAGGCGGTTTTTCGGGTTTAGGATTTGGGGGTTAAGGTCTAGGGTTTGGGGTTCGGGTTTAGGGTTTAGGGTTTAGGGTTTAGGGTTTAGGGTTTAGGGGTCAGGGTTAAGGAGCGTACATTGGGTGGTTGCTCAAGTTCGGGTTTAGGGCTTCGGCTTTTTGGAGGCTCCTTGTTTGTAGGTGCTGTGCTATGTTGGGAGCCAAAAGAGGGGGCCTTAATTTCGAGCACTGCCTACTTAATGAACCGAGAATTCCCTGCCCGCTCGGACTGATTTGCTCTTGGCTGCGTCATCTATGAGATGATGGAGCGGAGACGCTTGTTCGATGAGAGCCCCCGTCTCCGTGCCGAACACAGAGACCCGGGAAGGTGTCTGGACAGATCTCGGAGCTTGCGGGAGGCCTACGGGCTCTGCGTCAGCAGCCAGAATGTCTTCGTCAACTCGGTGAAGAGACGCCTGGAGGCAGGCGTGATTCAGGAGGAGCCCGCGGCCCCCCTGAACCCTAAACCCTAAAACCCTAAACCCCTAAACCCCTAAACCCTAAACCCTAAACCCTAAACCCTAAACCCTAAACCCTAAACCCTAAACCCTAAACCCCTAAACCCTAAACCCCAAACCCTAAACCACTTGATCTCATAGCGCTGGCTCCCGACATCGGCCCGGTTAAGGGTTTCGTTGAATTTTGTATCTTACCTTGAAGAGCCAGACCCCAGACCCGAACCTAAACGCTGAAATCTAAAGACTAAACCCTAATCCCTAAAGTCTTAGGGCGAGGGGATTCCTCTTCGAATTTTGCAAAATGGCCTGATGTTCCGGAGGTTTGGGGGCCACGAGGGGTGGAGGGTTTGAGGGTTTAAGAGGTCAGGGGCTTGCAGTTTAGGGTTTAGGGTTTAGGCTTCTCTAGGTTCAAGGATCAACAGGGTTTCTGGAGTGGAGTGTGTTAGGGTTGAGGGATTTTGGGGCCTAAAACCATGACCCCCAGAACCCTAGATCCCTAAAACCCAAAACTTCCGAAACCCTACAACCCCAACACCCTAGACCCCAAAACCCTAAAGCACCCTAGAACCGCAAAACCCTAAAAAACCAAAAGCCTCAGACCTAAATCCTAAACCCCACACCCTAAACCCAAACCTAAGCCCTAAACCCTAAACCGCACACCCTAAGCCCTAAGCCCTCAGCCCTAAACCCTAAACCCTAAACCCTAAACCCTAAACCTTAAACCCTAAACCCTAAACCCTAAACCCGAAACCCTACACCCTAAACCCTAAATGACGGCTTTGGGACAGCAACCTCGTAGGCTTCTTCGTCGGACGACGAGGACCTCGACTTTGAGGCGCCTTTGTTTCCGAAGGTTTAGGATTTAGGGGTTTAGGGGTTTAGGGGTTTAGGGGTTTAGGGTCTAGGGTTTAGGGTTCAGGGATTAGCGTTTAGGGTCTAGGGTCTAGGGTTTAGGGTCTCGGGTCTCGGGTCTAGGGTTCCGGGTTTAGCGTTTAGGGTCTAAGGTTTAGAGTCTCGGGTCTAGGGTTTAGGGTTTAGGGTCAGGGTTTAGGGTTTAGGGTCTAAGTTCTAGGGTTTAGGGTTTAGGGTTAGGGTTTAGGGTCCGGGTTTCGGGTTTGGGGTCAGGGTTTTGGGTTTGGGGTCCAGGGTTTAGGGTCAGGGTTCAGGGTTTAGGGTCCAAGGTCTAGGGTTCAGGGTTAGTGTTTAGGGCCTAGGGTTTAGGGTTTAGGGTTTAGGGTCCAGGGTTTAGGGTTAGGGTTTAGGGGTTTAGTTTTAGGGTTTAGGGTTTAGGGGCTAGGGTTCGGGGTTTAGGGTCTAGGGTCTAGGGTGTAGGGTGTAGGGGTTTAGGGTTTAGGGATTTAGGGTTCGGGGCTTCGAGTTTAGGGGTTTGGGGTTTGGGGTTTAGGGTTTAGGGTTTAGGGTTTAGGGTTTAGGGTTTAGGGTAGGGGGTTGCTGAGGCGGCTTCCGAATTTCAGGGCTTCAGGGTTTCGGGTGTTTCGGGTGTTTCGGGTTTCAGGGATCAAGGACTCTCACATGTTGAGGCTTACTTTACAGGACATGTTTTCAGGCTTCGACGGTTTCGGGTCCAGGGGTCTAGGGTTTACTGGGATCAGGCCGTTCATATTTGTGGTGCTATCATCATTCTTGTTGCTGTGTTAATCGTATATACGTATGTATGCATGCATGCATGCATGTATATATGTATATGTAGAATGTACTTTTTGGGTTGGATCTTTGTTTGCAGCCTGGGTGGGTTCTTGCGTCATGTGATGGTGTCCTACCCCCCCCCCACCCAATATGGCGGGGGTGGGGGAGATCCAGGAGCCCGCCGGGGCGCAAGCATATGGGGCCCGAACAGCGCTTAATTTTGAAGGTTTGAAGGCTATCGTCCCCTGAGTTTCTGTAGGGGTGGTCAGGGTCGGGGAGCAAAGTGCGCAGTAAAGTCTAGGATGGTGCGCATGCCCAGCGGATGCTGCCCCAGATCTCCCCAGCCCGAAAGCCCCGAAACCTTAAACTCCCGACTGAAAGCCCAAAACCCTACGCACTACTCCCTAAGCCCTAAAACCCCAACACCCTAAACCCTAAATTCCATAAACCCCAAACCCTAAACCCTAAACCTAAATTCCCTAAACCCTAAACCCTAAATCCTTCTAAACCCGAACACTACCTCGAGGATGATGAGGAGGTCGACATCGATTCCGAGGAGTCCGGAGACGATCCCTGAGGACTCGGCCTACTTGGGGGTTCATGGTACTTATGAACCAAGTATAACTGTACTAGGGTTTAGGGTTTAGGGTTTAGGGTTCAGGGTTCAGGGTTTAGGGTTTAGGCTTTAGGGTTTAGGGTTTAGGGCCATCTCTAAGGTCGGAAATGGGCCCTAAGTATGGTCCCTTGTTGAAAGGGATTTCAAGGGACCGAAGCATGAGCCCTTATGTAAGGTGTATATCAGGGTTATAGAACAGGGGGCCGGGTGTAGAGTTGAGGGCTTCTATCTGGGATGTTACCCCTTAATACGAAGAGTCCTTCATAGGGTTTATGGTACCCCCCGGAAAAGGGGGGAACATCCCAAGTTCATAAGGTTTAGGATTCCGGGTGTATGGCTTGCAATGGGATGGCGATTCACACGGTGTGTGTTTCTGGGCAAGGATCTGACTGCAGCATCCCAGGCAGGGGTTGAAAGGGCTTCTGGAAAGTTATTTGAGACCAAACTTCTACCGAACGATCTCGTGGGGCTGTGCCCCAAAACCTGAAAACCCAACCTGAAAACCCTAACCCCACCTGAATATGCTCCCTTACCCTTTGTTGAAGGGTTCTGATGTATGGGCCCTTGGGTTGTAAAGGGTATATAAGGGGTATAAGGGCCCCCACGAAGGGACCATGAAACCACCCTAAGATGAATGTTCGCAGGACAGGATTTTGCCCTCGTCTCCTGACTGCCTCGTCGTTCGTTAACAGACCTCCGCTGGGTTTCCTTCCAACGAAGAGCGGCCCTTGGAACCCTAAACCCTAAACCCTAAACCCTAAACCCTAAACCCTAAACCCTAAACCCTAAACCCTAAACCCTAAACCCTAAACCCTAAACCCTAAACCCTAAACCCTAAACCCCAAGCCCTAAACCCTAAACCCTAAACCCTAAACCCCAAACCCTAAACCCTAAACCCTAGCCCCCCCCCCAACTCTTAGCTTCCGAGAGTCGAAAGGCCTCCAGAGCCCCAGCAAGCGCGCTGCTTTTTTGGAAGAAGAGCCAGCTTCCTGGACCAGCGATCTCTCGCGGTTGCACCTCTCTTACCGTATCAGTGACCCTCTAAGGCTCAGGAGAGCTCTTGAGGGCTCGATAGCTGCACCCTAATAGCCCTGAAACCCTGAGCCCTAAACCCTAAACCCTAAACCCTATGCCCTAAACCCTAAACCCTAAACCCTAAACCCTAAACCCTAAACCCCAAACCCTAAACCCTAAACCCTAAATGGATTCAGTTTCGATCCGAGGAGCCAGGAATCAAAGTTTCGGAGTTCAGGAGTTCCTCTTCCTGAATCCATTTAGGGTTTAGGGTTTAGGGTTTAGGGTTTAGGGTTTAGGGTTTAGGGTTATAAAGCGGAGGCGGAGTTGCGAGGGACCCGCTCTCCAGCGGGCCTCTGCCTGAACTCCTGGCAGAGCCCTTCTCCCATCAAGGGGCTAAAGGAGGGACCCTTGTAAGGGACCTCTGGGATGATGTAGGGTTTGGGGTTTAGGGTTTAGGGTTTAGGGTTTAGGGTTTAGGGTTTAGGGTTTAGGGTTTCCACTTAGGTCTATAGGGACTCTAGAAGGCAGAAAGAGGGGGTTTTCTAAGGGGTTATCAGATGAAGGGTCTGTTTCCATGGGTCCCTCCTTGTGTCCCTTAAACTCAGGCGGGTCAACAACTCGCAAGTGGCTTCCTGATGGGCTCATGGTCCATGTGGGGGTTAGTCTAAATTCTGGGCCCTTGTTGCGCTTCCAGCCGCTAGTGTAGTATGGGTTTAGGGTTTAGGGTTTATGGTTTAGGGTTTAGGGTTCAGGGTTTAGGGTTTCCGTCCCTATCGCTTAGGATGCCAGCAAGGGCCCATCATGTAGATCGCCCTCTGAGCCACGGCCTACACCTCCATCACGTCCAGCATGGAAGACCTCACTGAACCCTGAAACCGCACACACGCACACGCAACCCAAATGCCCCTTGAGTTCCAAAATCGGTGCAGGAGCCCGAAACCCTAAACCCTAAAACCTTTTTGAAGCCCAAGTTCCCCCGCCCTGAAACCCGAACCCTCGTGACTCTTCGGGGTCAGAGGCACACCCCTGGGCTCTCCAGATAGACTTGCGCGCTTGCGTTTAGCAGGCTGCTCCGCGCCAAAAAGGCACCAGGGTCCTAATAATGATACTACTCATAATAACGATAACAATAATAGTAGTAATCATCATCATTAGTATCATTATTTGTATTTGTGATAAGGGAATCTTACTATTTGGGGGTCTATGTTAGGGGTACTGATTTTAGGAGACCCCCGTGTAGGCTTCAATCCTCATCCCCCCTAATATTAGCTCCCCTCCCCCCTAAGATGAAATGACGCTCCCTCATTTAATATTAGGGGGTTAGAGGCAGGGGCTTATAATATAACGGGGAGGGGATTGCAGCGGTTCTTTGTCGTACTGTGCCTGTGGGATGGAGGAAGGCTCTGGTGACGCACCCCTAAATGTGAATGATCCCCGAACCACAGCACGTTTTGGAGACCCCTTTGTGTCGGCTCCGCCGCACATCGGGGAAACCACTTTAGAACGCCGTGGCCTGTTCATCACATTGGCTCAAGATTCAAGTAAGCCATAGAGTGTAGGTCACCCATAGGTTGGAAGTAAGCGCAATAGCGTAACTGGAAACCGCCCGGGTGCACGAGACGGAGACTGAAGGCGAACATCAGTGCAGAAAACAAGTGCGAGACCATTTGGCTGGTGAGGAGCCAAAGCGTAGTGCAAGCAACTACCCGACCTCACGCAGGTTATCAGCCGTATAGCGGTTGCGACTTGCGACTACTGTACGTGCTGAGCTATGGCACTGCCAACCTCGTCGTCGAGTGCCGACACAACCATGACCTTCGGTGATGGTGATGCTATTGCTGCACCTGCATTGGGCGAAAGCACAGGCTGCGCCGACACAGATGCGGTTACATCATCAGATGATGCCGTTGAGCTGGTCGCGGTTGCGAAGGCACCCGCACGAACCAGAAGTGGTTTGAGCGTACTGCGTGAAGATGGAAACTCGAAGATGAGTCAAGTTTCACGCCTCAGATCCACTTCCAGACAATCATCGGAACGAACATCAAAGAGATCCAACACTCCAAGTACTCCACGACGAAGAAGAGGCACTTCTCCACGAATCTCTCCACGATCCTCGCCGGACGCCGGACGACCGGAAACGTCACCGCGAAGAGGGTACGGTGGCCCTCTTTTGGGTACCGGCCTCCCCAGTTCGGAACCTCCGGCTGGCGGTAGGAGCGGGCTTGATTCGGGTCCCCCGGTTGAGTCTGCTAACCCTCTAGCGGAACGAATCCGGGAAGAAGGCGAAAGGCGGGAAATGGGAGAGGTCATTGCCATGTTGCGACTGAAGATCGAGGAGATGCAACAGGAAGACTATGGGGCATCACTCAGGATCGAGCAGCTAGAACGCGAACGTGATCAGAACGCGCAACTGGCTGCTCATATCCATCAACGTCACGAAGCTACACTCGCTGAACGTGAGCAAGTCGTTGGTGCCACGATCGCAACGCTGGAGCAACATGCTGCCGACAATCATCACCAAGCGACGATGACTCAGGAGCAGTTGATGCACCAGCAACGCGAGATGGCGCAGTACATGGTCAACGTGGAAGAAGCGGCCCATGGTGAAGGAAACACGATAGCTCGAGAATATCAGCGACTTACAGAGGAGCTGAACATTCGAGCACATGAAAATCTGAGAAGGCGAGCCGATCTACAACAAGCCGAAATCATTGTGGCCCAGATGGAAGATCAGCTGCGAACCTCCGAGTTTGCACGTGAAGCATCCGAGAAGCAGAAGAGCGAGATGCGAGAATATGCTCATCATGAGAGCGTGGCATTGCAGGATGAACGCGATCAGACCAGGCTCTTGAACGTGAACATTCATGGCGTCATCGTTCGGTACCACGAAGAAGAAGAAAGAGCAGCTGCTTTGAGACAAGCTGTGCACGAAATGGAGCAGCGATTGGAAGGCCAACATGCTTCGTTGCCTAGCATCCATGAGGAGCTGCAAAGGGTACGAGCGGAATGCCAATCTCATGAGGACGTCAATCGACGACTGACATCGGAATTGGATGCTGCGAGACAGGTTCAAACGTACAACCGACCTACGTCAGCCGGAACGTCTGAGTGGGATAATGTTTCTTCAGTGCCTAGGGTAGGTGTGCATAATTCGCGTCCACAAAGCGTTCAATCCCGTTCAGGAATAACCCAAGCTTACAGCAGTCCGGAAGAAGTTGATCGTGATGTGCCAGTGTCATCTACGACGGAATCGAGGTTCAAGACATGGGTCCAGAACACCATTCCTGGGGTGGGTTCGGCTTCGCCGGCTCATTCCCAGGGTGGAGATGCCTCAAAGGAGGGTTCGGGTCCCCCGGCTCTTCCCACGAGGCCATCGTTGTTCGGAGGACCACCTATTCCAGTGGCAGAAAGCCGACCGACTTCTACAAGGACATCGTTATTTGGTGGACCTCCCGTTCTCGTTCCAGAAGTACCATCAGTTCCCAACCTGGTTCCGGGAAGGATGTTCACGACAGGTTTGCTGGACTTGCCTCCTGGCTTGGCTACCAGACCACACACCTCACAGTTACTTGCTGATCCACCTACGGCGTCCACGTCCTACCAGTGTGTGCGGCAACCATCGCGTTCGCGGCATACGGGCGAGGTCACGCCTGGAATGGCTTCAGAAATTCCTCCGAATGCTCCCAATCATCCTCAAGATCCTCGCGCAAACGCTTCGACAACTGTTCAGCAAGAAGCTTTACGAAGGCAAATGGATGATCTTCGGGAAGAAATGAGCAGAATGAGAGACACCGAAGCTCGTCTTCGTCGTGAACGAGATCAATGGCGTACAATTGCTGAAGAACAGGAGCAAGAGAATGAGGGTGAAGAGGGAGAGAACGAGGAGGAAGGCGAACCAGAAGAGGACGGAGACAAAACAGACCCCGGATCCTGGAAGCCAATCA